ACTTGCAGCTCTGCATCCTGCTGTTTATCCTTGATATTACAGGCACATGTCTAGTTTCATGTCGCTGCTTCTTGTTGTGGTGCCAGGGACTGAACCCAGGGCCTCACATATACAAAGTGCTCTACTACTGAGCCCATTTCCACCCTATGCCATTGCATTTTTAGGGCTACGTAACAATCTAAAACAGAGGTTTCTAAACTTTTTTGGCTTATTGCCCCCTTTTCAGTAAAACAAATACTCCCTACCCTCCTGGAAATTTACATTCTTTAAGTTTACAAATAGAAAATGCTTTCTAACTGTACCCAAGGATATTATACCTTCCTCTATTCATTCCAATGCTCCTAGGGGGTAGTACCACTTACTATGGAAAGCACTCATCTAATTTATAGCTGCACTATGACTTACTCAAGATAGTTTCTGATTATTAACAAATAACATGGGACAAGTGGCCTTTGATGCAGGAATCTTCGCCCCTCTTATGGATAATTTACAAAAAGAATTGGCAAATTAAAATAGAGATACATATTTTTAAAAGCTCCCATTATCCATCCCTAATTGCCAAAATTCCACTGAGGGGATGGCAAGAGAGACCCGATGTTAACTACTGGATCTATTAAATTTTTTGATAGAAATTCTTTTTAACAGCACAACACTGAATTTTTTTTAGCACCCAGAGGAAACAGTAGTAGCATAGTACTAGTTCATTATTAGGTAAGTATCAGTCTATGGGGTGGCCAGTACAAACCCTCTGAGTACAGAGCTAAAAAAGGCAGCTGTGCAGTGTACCTTGGGAAAATATTTCTCTGATGCAGCTGGATGCTCTCGGGATAATGAGCAAGAGGGCTTGCAAGGAGAGAGCAGGGAAGTCATTCCCAGGAGGAGAATGAAGACCCAAGGAACGGGAGCTGCACAGTCCAGTCCAGCAGCGCCCTGATGTCCTGGTGTGAATCACACAGGAATGAAGAGAGTAGGTAGAAAGGTGGCATGGAAACAAATGCTTTAGCTATTTGGATGCTGCCTTTGAGCTAACCAGAAAGTTCAGGGTAAGTTTTGTAAAATCATGATCAGGAATAAAAAAAGCTTCCTACTGGGACCAGAGAGATAGTAAAGTGTGTTAGGGTGGTTGCCTGGCACCTGGATGACCCAGATTCAATTCCTGACACCCCATATAGTCCCCTGAGCCGTTCCAGGATTGATCCCTAAATGCACATCCAGGAGAAAGTCCTAAGCACAGCCAGGTGTGATCAAAATCCCTCCCCGCATCTAAAAAAACCCCAGCTTCATATGAACTAATGTAGGGGTGTGTGTGTGTGTGTGTGTGTGTGTGTGTGTGTGTGTGTGTGTAGAACTATCTTCTACACAAAATAGTTTTCCTGAAAACTAGGGTAAATATTCCTTGAATAATTTTTCTGAACTGAAAACTGTATGGAGTGGCATGTGCAAATGGAAGGCAGGGACAGCTAGCAGGATGGTAGGATAAGTTAATTGTATATTAACTACTGATCTAATAACCTGTGACATTTATTAAAATATTTCTTGAATATCAAATGTCAATCAGTTCTTTAAGTATTCCTGCATTATAACTATTATTCCTTTTTTTTTTTTTTTTGCTTTTTGGGTCACACCTGGCTATGCTCAGGGGTTACTCCTGGCTCATCCACTCAGGAATTACTCCTGGCGGTGCTCAGGGGACCATATGGGATGCTGGGAATTGAACCTGTGTTGGTCATGTTGGCTGCGTGCAAGGCAAATGCCCTACCCGCTGTGCTATGGCTCCAGCCCCATAACTCTTATTCTTTTGTTTTTATTGTCACATCAGCTTATTTATACTTCTATTGAGTCACTGTGAAATACACAGTTACAAAGTTGTTCAGGATAGGGTTTCAGTCATACAATGATCCAACACCCAACCCTCCACCAGTGTGCATTTACCACCACCAATGACCTGTTTCTCTTTCACCATTCCCTCATTCTACAACATTCAGAAGTGTCTGAAGTGTCTGTAACAATGTCTTGCTGACATCACCAGATCTCTCACAATCTTTTTGTAATGTGATAGTTCAGGATTTTGCTCCCCTGGATTTTGTGGGGTAATTGTTAAAAAAATGAATAAAAACTGCATTTTTTACAACATAAATTTGCGATTCCACATTCACACATGCATCAATCATATTCATAATGTTGTCCATTCACTTCACTATTCAAGAAACCACTTTTACCACTCTAAAAACAAATTCTGTAACTATTAAGCTGTAAGTTCCCATTTCTCCAAAATAACAAAAAGAAAATACCTTATATCCCTGTGAAATTTCCCCTTCTACTTACTGGATATAAGAAAATTTTAGCAGTATTATCCTGGGTTGCAGTGGATAGTATAGTGGGTGGGCCACTTACTTTGCACACACTTAAGCTGTTTTCAATCCTTGGCACCCCTTAATGTCCCCTGAGTCCCACCAGGAGTGATCTCTGAATGCAGACAAAAGTAAGTCCTGCACCACTGGATGTGGCCCTCCTCACCACCCAATTAAAAAAAATCAGTATTTGTTCATCTCATTTCACTTAGCATAATATTTTCAAAATTCATCCATGTTGTAGTATGAACTATGGTGGACTATTTTGTTACTTGTATGTACCACATTTTGATATGTATCTATTGACTGATGGATACTGGGTTGGTTCTATTTTCCATCTATAATGAATAATAATGCTGCAATGGACACTGATCTACAAGAGTGTGTTTCACTTTGTGTTCTTAACTCTTCTGGCCACATGGTTGATGGTGGGGATTCTTACACAGTACTACTTGCTTGTGGAAAAAACCCTCTTGAAAAGGGGCATCTTAAGACACTAAACTAATCACATCATCAGATTTTTCACTTAAAAAATGTCTGGGTTATTAGGAGAAAGGAGAAAAAAGACATGAGAAAAAATTGAGTTAGGAGTCATGCAAACACGGATGTCTTAGAAATGATCAATTTGGGAAACTGTCTGCTAACATTTCTAAAGGACTCAAATATTTTAAGTAGCGATTCAAGTTATTAATTTGATTACAAACTGTTGGGATTTAAAATTTTTTATCTTACATGATTTTATGCTATTGAATTGGAGCCTCAATTATAGTAATTTTCAAACGTGAGTCCAATTTCATTAGCAAAATATGAAATCAAACTGTTAATAGCACTTATTTAATTAGTTTTGTTTTGGGGCCACATTTGTCAGTGCTTACTCCTGATTCTGTACTCTGGAATCACTGCTGGAAGTGCCTGGGGGACCATGTGGGGTACAGGTGATAAAAACAGGGCTAGCCAGAATCAAGACAAACTCCATGCCTGCTGTAGTACCTTTCCAGACGCTATTACCAGCACTAAGAAGCTAAGAAAATAAAAGAATGCATTGCACTTAGGGGCAATGTGAAACTTTTGTTTCATATGTATATGTATATGTATATATGCACATATATGGGTACTATTAAATATACTTCCTATTGTGGGATGTGATGAGAAAAGGGGAAAAAAGCCAAACCACTGGTGTACTGGAGAGTGTAGAACTGAATTAATCAGAACTTAATTTGAATCTGAGCTTTGGGTGACTTTTGTCATTTTCAACTTGTCTATGGCTTAACACTCTCATCCCCCCAAAAGAGCAATAACATCTTCATGTTTGTGTCTGCGCTCTTCATGTAGAAGAAAATATGTGTAATAATTGATGACTAAACCTGTTATGCTATTGTTTACTTTAAAAACTCATTTTGTTTCTACTTTAAAAACTCATTTTGTTTCTCCAATTTGGTTGAATATGAAGATTTGACACATGATTCGTTTTCTCTTCTATTTTCAAATTGTACTCCTATATTATGGACTTCGACGGTTGATTACAACGTCATTTATCTTCTATTTTATAATTCAGCTTGAATTATGAACTTTCAAATAGCTTCTAGTGCTTAAGTCAGGACCAAGCTCATTGCAGAGAATGCTGGATGAAAAGCTTTCGAGCTCGATCCAGAGCACACATTTTGCAAAGTATCACTTTACGTCAGGGGCAGCAGCTGTAATCCTGATTCCACCAGTTTTTCCTCACCCAATCTACACGATGCTAAACAGGTCCGCTAGGCACAAAGTCATGTCTCCGGGAAGTACAAGTGGAAGGTGTGAACCGAGAAACCACTTTATCTGAGGACAGTTGGAAATTAGATCCTACTATCACTCCTCACTCCTATTCCACAACGGCGCGGGGGCACGCAGAAGCCCCGAGGGTCAAGGCCCCCGAGCCAGGGGGCCGCGTCCTGAGCTCTGGAGGCTCGCGGGCACGCACGATCTCCCGCACTGAGAGCTCTTCTTCCCAGATGAATCCTCCGAGTGTCGCAGACGCGCAGTCTCGATCGATACTGGATGGCAGACGCGCTGCCCGTCAAGTGCAGCCGCCGTGCGAGGAAAGAGCCGTCCCGCCGCTCGCCGCAGCTTCCCATCAGCTCCTCGGGGCCAAGGACGGTGGGTAACTCGCCCCCACCCCACCCTTGCCACCGCTGCTCCGGGTTCGGCTTTTGCAGGGTGGGGCTTTGCTTCACAGGCAGCGGAGGTCCCCGGCTTTTGGTGTGTGCTTGTGTGTGTGCGTGTGTGTGTGTGTGTGCGCGCGCGCGCGAGGAGTGGGGGGATGACTCCCTGCCTGCCTCCAGCGGAGAGCGCGAGTGCAGGACTTCTCCCACTCAGGACCTTACATTCTCGCGTCTTAACCGGGTGGGCTGCAGGAGTAGGTGACCCCCGCGCTTCCGCTTTACGGGGGGCTATAAAGGCCATTGCGGGCAGGGCAGGGGCGTGCGCCGCGGTCCGCGAGTTGGGCCCCTGGGAGCCCGGGCGGCTCAAGCCCCGCCCCTCCGCGCCCGCTGCCACTCCTGATTGGCCAGCCCGAGCCGAAGGCCGCCCGCACTCCCGGCCCACGTCGCAGGTATAAAGGCAGCGGATGCATGACGGCGGCGGCGAAGCTTGTCCGGCCGCCGTGCTCGGCCGCTTTCAGCCCCTCGGGCGCCCCGGTCCCTCCTACTCCCCGGCGCTCCCGGCGCCACCATGCCAAGGGGCTTCCTAGTGAAGCGAATTAAACGGACAGGCGGCTCCTACCGAGCACGCCTCGCCGAGCGCGTCTTCCCCCTACCGGGGCCCCAGGTGGCGCCTTCCTTCCCCGAGGACATTTCCAGAGCACCCCCGTCCCGTACGGAACCGGCGGCGCCCTCTACTCGAGAGGAGCCCGGAGAAGGGCCCGAGGACCCGGCGGCGGCGGCGGCGGCCCGCGAATGGTCGGGCTCGCTCTGTCGGGCGGCGGGGGTGAGCCCCGGGTCGGGCGCGCGGGCCGGCGCGGAGTGGAGGGGCGACGGCACGGAGGGTGCGCCCAGCCGCAGCCCCGCGAAGCCGGCGGGCACCGAGCCGCGCCGGGCGTTCCTGGAGCGCTGCCTCAGCTCGCCCGTCTCGGCCGAGTCCTTCCCCGGGGGCGCCCCCGCGCTCTCCACGTTCTCCGGCTCCGGCTCCGCGGCGCCGAGCGGCTCCCCGAGCTCCGGGGAGACCCTCCCGCGGCCGCCGCGCGCCGAGCCCGCGCTGCACCCTGAGCCCGCGGCCCTGGCCGCCGCTCTGCCCGGCCTGCCGCGGGCCGCCGGCGGTGTCAAGAAGCCCAAGGCTGTGAGGAGGCTGAGCTTCGCCGACGAGGTGACCACGTCCCCCGTCCTGGGACTGAGGATCAAGGCGGAGGAGCCCGGGGCGGCGGCCCGGGGCCGGGGGTGCAGCCGCGCGCCGCTGGGGGCGTTCATCTGTCAGCTGTGCAAGGAGCAGTACGCCGACCCCTTGGCGCTGGCGCAGCACCGCTGCTCCCGCATCGTGCGCGTCGAGTACCGCTGCCCCGAGTGCGACAAGGTCTTCAGCTGCCCGGCCAACCTCGCCTCGCACCGCCGCTGGCACAAGCCGAGGCCCCCGCCTCCTGCCGCCCCGGCGCGTCCCGCCGACGCTAAAACGCTGCCCCCGGCCCCTGGCCCCGGGGTCGCCGCGTTCCCGGCCGACGGCAAGGAGAACGGGCGAGCCGAGCGCCCAGCCGATCAGCACCTGCGGCCCAGGGACAGCTCCGCCGCCCCGGCTCACCCCAATGGCGTGGTGCGCCCGGGCCTCCAGCTGTCATCGCTCCCCGAGCCTCCGCGGCCCCAGGTTCCCTACTCCGATGGGGTGCTGGGGCGCCGGGCGCATGGACCGGTCAGTGTCGGCGGTGTCGGCGGCGTCGGTGGCTCCGAGATCTTCGTGTGCCCCTATTGCCATAAAAGCTTCCGCCGCCAGGCCTACCTGCGCAAGCACCTGGGCACGCACGAGCCGGGAGCTCCCCGCGCGCTCGCCACCGGCCTCGCCCGCCCGCCGTGCGGTGCGCCCCTGCCAGCGGCCGACAGCACGGACCCGCACCGGCTGTGGCTCGCCGTCCGCGATGAGCTGCTGCTGCCCGCCCCGGCAACGGGGCTGCCCAGTCCTGTAGCAGCCCCCGACGGGGCGGTCCCGCAGACCTTCTGCTGCAAGCACTGCCCGTCTACCTTCTTCAGCTCCCCAGGGCTCACCCGCCACATCAACAAGTGCCACCCCTCCGAGAGCCGGCAGGTGCTGCTGCTGCAGCTGCCCCTGCGGCCGGGCTGCTAAGGGGCCCGGGACACCCAGGCGCTGATGGGCTCGCCTCGGAGTAAACGCATCGTGGGAATCTGGGTGGGGGGTGGTTTTTTCCAACTGGCGGACACACGCTCGTTCCACTTCTATCCCGAGACTCTCCGTGGTCGTTGTCTGCACCCCCGAGACGCGGCAGCGACCTGTTACCCCTCCCAGTAGAGCAGGTATGTATTCGATCTGCTCCAGGACTTGCGCCTCTCCCACGAAAACAGGATGTCCCCTCTGCAAGTTCTGGAGACCTAACGAATCCTATCCGACTCGTAATTCCTATGGAAAAGTCCCAGTGAATGCGTGCATGTCCCAGTGTCTACGAAGGATTCCAGCTGCCTAAAGTGGCAGTCACCGATGTCCCTTTCCCCTTTTTTCCATCGCAGGCACCTAAGTGGTTTCTGTCTCAAAAGGGCCAGATATCTCGCATTGTATATTCTGTGAATTAAGTTAATGTAATTGGTGCCAAACTTAAAAGTGGGATGGGAGGTATTCAAGACCCGTGTCTGTGGACAGGAAATGTAAAGGATGCTTGTGCTTTGGGGAGATATGGGGTATGTACCTTTCTTAATCACAGTATTAACCCTTCTTTAGTGTTTGGAGGTAGGGACGGTGCTGCTTCACCGGCAGCTGAGAAAGACTCTACTTCTCATCCTTAGCTATTTCGTGTGCAGCATTCAGGAAGCGCTACTTTAACGTACTTCTCTTTTTTGAAAATATAGAACTCATGTCCTATAGTTTTAGTTTCACCAAAATTGTTTAAGCTTCTGTTTTAAATCTCATACTATGTATTATGAACGAAACTGTTTAGCTTAAAAATGTTAACACCTATAATCCATTATGGAACCAAAAGGCAATTTACTCAGTCTTTTCATTTTGTAAACCATATCCAGTGTACATTCTGTACCCCTGCCCTGACAGCCAGGGTTATGGATACTGGCTGAATATTGCTCTACAGATAGCTCATATTTGTAAGATGCTTACCACCAAATAAATGTACATAGCTGGTACTGTGTGGTGTTCTGTGTTTGTCTTAAAGAATCTTGTTGAACACAGCCTATTTTTTTCAAAGTCACATTTCTTATCTGCCCAAAGCCAGTATCCTACTTTAGAACCTTATTGACTTCATTTAGACAGCATACAAAGAAGTTTAAAAATGAATATAATGGTGTAGAAATGCAATGGGAAAATCTCCTTTGAAATATGGCTGCAGACTGAGCTTCAATGACAAATCTTCCTGAAATCTAAAAAGACACTCCTTTGCCCACAAAAATGTCAACAGAAAAAAATTCTAAAACTTTTTCCTAAAGCAAGTGAATATTATCTAACAATGGAAAAAAATTCTTGTTAACTGTGTTTAATTCACTTATTTCAAGTTGGTATTTTCACTGCATTTTGTTACATATAATCAAGACCATTTAAAAATATATGTAAACGCTTTGGAAATGTGTGTTACTTTTTCCTTTTTAGAATTTTTTTACCTTGGTCATGTCTACATTGATTAGGTCTGTTCCAAGGAATTCATCTTTAAAAATTTGTTAATTTCCATGGAAACGTCCAGAGGAATTTTATTTTCTGTAGTTTCATATAAATATTTTTGTTTAATGTAAAATTGATATAATCTAAGCACATAGGAACTCTGATTTAGGAAGTGTAAGATGCTTTCTTCCTAAGAGTAGATTATAAAATGAAGTAAAATTTAAGAAACCAAAGAAGGGGGTGAGGTAAATCGAAGCTTCAACCAAGTATATGAGGCGAAGTTTCTGGTTAGCCATTATGAAGGTATAAAGTTTCCCGTGTTTTTAATGACTGAACTAGGCTTCCTGAGAAATAATTTGGGAACGGGGTCTGCCTGAGAAAGGGAATTCAAATTTGAATTTTTTCATGATTAGTAAAGATAACATAGATTTATATCTCTCTCCACTAATAATATATCCCTGCTTATTAGGTCTGAAAATATATAATACACCAGTCAACACTCATGGCAATAAAGTGATAAGAATATTTTTATTGTATTATTAAATACAATATCATTTTTCCACTGTAACAAATTTGTAGTACTACATGAATGATGATATATAATTTATAGCTTATGGTTTGCTGGTATCATGTATTTACACATGCAGTCAGTACTGATGTCATGCTACATTTCCTTAGGAGATGTCCATTCCAAACAAGTGGTGAGCAAAACGTGAGCAGCTTATCTACCACAGGAAAATACTTGTGGAAGGTGGAAGGTATACCAACCTGCACCTGCAAGTTCAGTATTAACTGTATTTAGATTTGATTTAGACTCCTGGGTCATGTTCACTTTATTAAAAAAATAATACACATAATTTAAGCAACTCATTTATAGCAGGAAAGTTTTCTCTTTCTTTCCCCTCCGTTTTCCTTCTTTTTGGTACTTATAAAGAAAACACACACACCAGGATTTAACAGCCAATAATGGGCTGCAGTCTCAAAACAGGAAAAGGCATTTAACAATGATACCAGATTTTAAAAGCAAAACCTTAGAAAAATATTTGGAAGCTAAACATAAATCAAAGTTCAGCACAGTGATTTTTCTGGTCATTAAATATGTCATGGCATCACCTGTACAACCAAGAAATGAGACAATGTTTTGGGAAGAAAATGTTACTGCTAAAAATTATTTCAGTTGGAATTTGAGGTGCTACAAGACCACTTATTTTGTTTTATTTTGTTTTATTCTAATAACATAAATAATCCAAACACATCCTTTCTATTAACAGATTTGCAACTTTTGTTATAATTTTACAAATGCTTTAAATAAAAAATTTCACTTGTAAAAAATTAAATATTGTCATAAAGTTGCAATGTTCCACAATAAATAAGATTATTTGTCCAATTATATTTTGATTCAGAGTTAATCATGAAATTAAAAGTTAGACATAATTTTTTAGGACGGGAAAGGAATATAATAAAATCCACCCCCTCCCCAAATAATGTGGCAGCTTAAGAGCATGAAGGAATAAACCCAACTGGAAAACAGCCCAAATCTAAACTTAAAAGTTATAAATTATTTAAATCCAGTGTCTTCTAAAATAAAATTTTTTGAAAGAACATGCATGCCGGGCTAATGTGAAGCCTGAAAGAGTTAATCTATGTTCATGCTAAGGTGGGTAATGCTGATCATGGCCGGACTGCTTGTCTGCTTAGGATTTATTGGCTGAGCCAGAGGAACGACGCAGCTTCATAGACATGCGGCTTTTGCTAGTTCGAGGAGACATTGGGGAGGCTAAGTCAGCCCCATCTACCTGCGTTGCTGTTGGAGTTTCACTGGATAGAATCTCTGGATAGGAGCCTGTGGGAAACAGCAAAAGCATTAGTGCACGTCATCTGGCCTCTCATTTCATAATAAAAAAACTTTCTGCTACCAATTAGTAGCAAGGGTTAGTGAGGTCTTTTAGAGAGGAAAAGCAAACCCCAAACTTGTTATGACGGCCTACTAGTATCGTATTTAGAAGGACAGGAATTAAAGCACCATTAGCATGCAGGGAAGGGTTTAAGAAGCAGGTGAGAAGAACCAATTCCTATCACTAAGAAACAGGGCAGAAACAAGAAAAATGCCTTCACTGATTATCAGACTTGAAAATGATAGCACCAACTAGTTAAAAAAATACTTGAAGGTATTTTAGAAAGGCCAAATGTTGTGATTATATTTAAGATGAAACATACATTGCCAAGGAAAAATATTTTATCACAACTCATAACTAGGTTATCTGTTCTTTCCAAATTATCTTAACTTCTTCAACATTCTTTCTTTGCAGTACTGTAAGACCATCACACATGCTAGGTAGCTGAATATACTTTTAGGAAAAATTACTGATGGAAGGAGGAAAGAAGTCTCAGTTGAAAGTTAGCTGAAGAAGGTAAACTAATCATTCCCTTCAAGGTTTCAATTTGTATGAGAGAAGCAAGTTTTCCCCTTTAAGTTTTGCAGTTTCATTGTCCAGTTACAGCAAATAGGTCACCAATAAATTTGCAGATATAAAAATTTAAAAAAATTCAAAAACTCCTTGATCATTTACAAAATAGTTCTTCACCTCTGCACTTTTTTCTATTAATTATGTTTTCCTAACATACAGAATAGACTAATTCTATAGAAGACGACACACTGAAGGTTCTCAAGTATTTTCTGAAGAAATTACATTAAGAATCCCCTAAAAATCAAAAGTTTGCAAGCATGACAGACCGACCAAATTAAAAATTATGTGTATTTTACGGTACTTTAATCAATTTTTTCCTCTTACGTATAAGAGAAAATTTATATAATTTTTCTCTAAGTGTGACAGACAATACACATACATACACACATCATACAGGTTTCAGGCTTCCATGTACACATCTCCTTAATAGGGAGACTTCAGGCATATTTATTAGTCAATACAGCACAGCCTCACTGAAACAATTCTGCTAGCACTCCCTCCACAGGATGAAATATTTGTGCCTAAACCGACGTTCTGAATATTTATAAGAAAATGCAGAAACTGTCCAATAGGGGCACAGTCTAACAAGATGTCTTACAAGTTAAGAACCTGTGTCAGAAGAATACTTGAAGGTGTTTTTAAAAGGCCACATGTTGTGATTATGTTTAAGAAGAAATATACATTGCCAAGGAAAAATATTTTATCACTACTCAGAATCTAGGTTATCTGCTCTTCTTTCCAACTTCTCTTAACTTCTGCAACATTCTTTCTTTGCTAATTGAAAAATGAGGTTGGCCTTCACAAATACAATAAAGAAATACATTTCTGTTCACCTTTACTCTTCCTGAAGATCTGAATTGGTTCAAACTGGGCCCACACTGGAAAACCTAGAGGAGAATATGAATCCATGGCCTTTCTAAGGAAATAGTGCGGGTGGATGGCAGAAGGAAGGTGAAGAGCAGGAGCTCATGCTTTTCTGGCAATGCATTTATTCCCGACCAATCATAAGAGGCCTGCCCAGGGCTGTTTACCTTGAGATGGCCAATGTTTTCTAGCGGAGGTTTTGGGAGGAAGAGAACTATCACTGCATTGCTTTCTTTGTTTTGAATGAAGAAATGGAGTAGCGAGCAGAAGTGAGAAAACAAAAGAGAAGGTAGATAACAGGTATGAGAGACACGGTGCAGAATTTACAAGTGTTAACCAATGGGTAGAGAAGACAGTAATCAGGTTTTTAATTATGAAATACATTTGGGCATGCAATGCATTTAGAGTGATGATGTTTCACAATGGATAATGCTCTGAAGATTCAAATGTTATATACTATATACTTACCGACTAACAAAACAAGTTCAAATAGGAAAAAAGAAGAAAAAAAAAGAGTCTATGAGAAATTTGATAAATATCTACTGTTCTAAGTGTTCACTGCACCTACAGCATGTTATTCTAATCACCTGGTATAAACATTCTGGAGCTGTTCTGTCCAACATGCTAACCTGAGATGCACTGAAATCACATTAAAAATGGGCTCCTTGATACATTAGCTATATTTCAAGCAGCCTGATATAGTTAGTGGCCACATACTGGACAGTGCAGATAAAGAGAATAACCATAATCATAAAATGTTTTACTGGAGAACACTGGTTTAGAGGATGCCAAATTTAAGGAATATTTCCCTTAAAAATAGAAAATTTCTTCACATCTTCGTGTTTTCAAGGTGAAATCCCCTTGTAGTCAGTCAGCTGTGAGACAAATCAGAC